TTATATGAATACGCGGACATTATAATATGTACAGTACAATCTTGCAAGCTTGTTTTTAGTGAGGCAGAGGGCTAACGCTACGGGGGATTTTCGAAGATGGTATCTGATATCATGGAATATTACTACGTGTACGAAGTAGATAGAACTGGGGAGAGGAGGAAGTCCATTTCCCCCCCTCCACTCGGCCAAACTCCCAGGCGGTGAGTGAGACTTCCATGAGCAGCAGAGTACGGTACATATGTATGTACGGTGAGCAAATAGATAGATTCCTAAAGGTAAGAATGGCGACGGGCACGAGATGACTCTATCCATTGGATAAAATGTGATACTGCAGTGTGAAAGTGCATAGTTATGGTGCGCCCGTGGTGGTGCTATATATAGAACGGAATGGGGGACCTGGCATATGAGTGTATTGAGTACAGTAGTTATGTATATCCATGTACTCCGTACCTGAGAACTACATAGTACATAGTTACCATAGTAATATCGTTAGTGTCCTCCATATTGCGGGGGCCTGCCTGTTTTAAAACTCAAATATTTAGTTAAGTTTTATGCTTAATCGCAGCTTTTTAGTTTTAAGTAGTTAATTGTTCCGAACGCAAGACTTCACCTCAAGATTTCTCCCCTCCCCGCGGCCTCTCAAGGATGTATATGTGGGGGTTTTGGTTTATGCGTGTTATTGACCCGGCGTTGGTGTCAGTCAGAGAAGATGCCTGTCTGTAGACTTGTCTGTCAGCTTCTGGGTATTCATTCGAGTTCATTCATGGGTTGGGATGGGATGAGTAGAAGAGAACAGGGCAGATTCAGTAGTTGTTTGAATACTCGCCGCTGCAGAGAAGGAAGAATTGGACAAGAAGCGAAGAAGAAGAAACAGAAAAGAAAAGAAACCGATTGCTTACCATCATCCGCATTCCTATTGAGTTGCTGTGTTTGTGCTGTTTGGCCAGAGCCGCATTCCTAGCAAAGAATGAACAATCCTAACTTATTTGTTTATATATCGGGTGTTTTAAGCTGACCATTATTGCAACTACAGTCAAACAGTCAATTTCAGCTCTTGAGTGCCCTGATGGTGGTTTAGTTTACTCATTTCTCTCCCGAGCCCCTGTTGGTTAGTTAGTTACCCGTCTGGCGCAGCGCTGTTCCTCCTCCTCCTCAACAAATGCCGTTTTGCCCTCGACTTGCATGGCTAGCTAGTCCGTGGCTTGTATGCGAGACTAGTAAATATGCACGCCGCCAACATCTGCCGCCAGTGCATCTGGCTATTGGACAACCCTTGCGATGAAGGGTAGGCCCCCAGCAGATCCCCGCCGCCAAAGCCCGACTTAGCAAAGTTAGGTTTTCCCCAGAACGCTGGTTGTGACTTCTAGCGGCGGGTTGATGTGGTGGTTTGATGTGGAATTGTGGATGGAATCATATGGCTTGCTTGAAAAAGAGGGAAAAGAAATTATAACTCAACGCCATCAGGGACCTTCGAAAACCTTGAACCTGCCCAGGCATACCTAGGTAAATGAATTGTTGAAGAAGTTGAGGAGGGATGGATAGAGCCCTATCCTATCCAAAGCCCTTGGCATCGAACGTCGGGCCCTGAGGTAAATATCCCAACCTGTCACAGCCTCGCCCCCGGCCCCGGCCAAGTCTATGCATTTGCGGTTGTCTGTCACTCTCTGACCCTTGGCTGCCTTGCCCGTGGTGAGCGTGCCCAATGGTGTCGCAGGAAGGCCGCCCGGATCCCTGAGGGGATTGTCGGGGCCAGTTGCGATATCCGGCTCGTTGGCTCTAAGAAAAGAAACAGAATAAAAGAGATCTCGTGTCCAGGATTCTGATACAACCCCTCCGAATGTGTGTGTGATCTACGGATTAACTTCTTTTCTCTTTTCCAACTGTGTGGAATCCCTCGCTGCTGTTGGCTATTTTCTAGCTCCCAACATGCCACTGGGCCAGCAAACCTGCGATGTTTGCTCCTCTGCTTGCGTGTTAACGCGATTCTAATTTTCAAGCTACGGCCCTTTTGCCTGACCAGCCTCCCGCCTCATAGAGTGGTCCCTTGCCCGTCCTGCTGTCTGGAAGAGAAAACAAAATGTTTTCTTCTCCACTGTGTTAATATCTATCGTCGAGTTCATGTCTACCGTGCGGCAAATAACAAGAACACTAGCAGTATGGCGTTCTTTGGTATACAAAGGCCACAGGCTCCCAATCCCTATGGGCGATCCAATACGCCCACCATCAGTGCACCGCTCCCCTTCCCGCCATCCTACTACATGGAAAATATCTCCACATCTATATTAAATCCGTCACTGCCGCACTCAGGACTTGTCAATCCAGATCATTTTCAACAGCCTCCCCGCCCTGCACCTCCACGTCCAGATGTCGTCGCTTCTCAACACCCCCAACACTCAGCTCATCCTGCTGTTCACCAAACACCGCCTCCACTGGAAGATCACCCAGCATATCGAGATATACACCCCCCAATGAACAACAGCAGCAATATCGTCAACGGCGACGAGAAAAACAAAAACGATACGCACCAATTCATCTCATATAACCCGTCGGCTTACGATATCTCAAGGTTGTCAATCTTGTCGTCACAAGACCTGCCTCCCACCCCGCCCAACTCTCCGCCCATATTGCCATTTCGCTCGCCTACCCCTTCGCAAACCCGCTTTACTTCCACTTGGATACCCCCGGAACAACTAGTTCAGCCTATACCATGCTACGAAAGTCGCCCAAAATGGCATCAATATCATCATCATCTCTACCCCCCCTTAAAGGACAATGCCCCTACTACCTCCAAAGCCTCCGCGCGCGCGAGCTTGTACAGCGTGACCGACCAGGACCATATTTCCTCTAGTGGCTCTCCTGATCTTTCCGACCTTCTTTCCGGGAAGCTCGACGAAGTCATCACCTCCATAGGCGGCCAGGAATTTAGCGGAATGGAACAAGATTTACGTAAGTTGCTATCGACGATTACGCTCAGTGCAGTTATGGCATGCTAAAAAAAAATTGACCAAATTCCTATGTAGACGTGAGCTACCACCACCCTCAGCCGCCACTTCGTGGCGGAGACTCTGGAGGCGGGCGGCCATTCCGAGTTCGCAAACGCCGCACGTACTTGTCAAATATCAATTACTTCTCCAAGGTGTATCATTATGCAAATTGTCGGCTGCCGGATACTCTCACCCCTTTGCGACTGTAAGGTTTTTTCTTTTACTGCTCACCTATCAACTTATTGCCTTGGGGGCTATAAATTTAACTAACGCCGTTCCCTTTTGCCGCCTCTCTCGCCTTACAGCTATATACCTACATATCCTCTCCTCTGCCTGGCAGCGCGCTTCTCCCAACGAGTCTACAACAAACCCACCGGGGCTGAGCGCGAAACCCGCGTCGAAGCCGACTGGCGCCTCGGCACAAAGGCAATGGTCATCAAATCCGAACCAGTCGATAACATGAACGTAATCGTCTTCGCCATCCGCGGCACGCACAGCTTTCGCGACTGGGCCACGAACATGAACTCCGACCCCGTCGCGCCAGATAACTTCCTCGACGACCGCGGAAATCTGTGCCACGCTGGTTTCCTCTCCGTCGCGCGCCGCATAGCCAAGCCCGTAGCCATGCGCCTGCGGCAGATCCTTGACGAAAATCCGTCGCGCATCTCTTCCTCTCTCGTGATAACAGGGCACTCAGCCGGCGGAGCAATCGCCAGCTTGCTATACATGCATATGCTGTCGGAGACATTGAAGTCCGACTTGATTCGGATGCGCGACTACTTTAAGCGAGTACACTGCATCACCTTCGGCGCGCCGCCAGTGTCGCTGCTACCGTTGCAGAAACCCGTTGGGCCCGGCCGTGACCGCTTCCAGAAATGGTTATTTTTCTCATTCGTGAATGAGGGCGACCCCGTACCCCGCGCAGATAAAGCGTACGTCCGCTCCTTGGTAGACCTGTACATCTCCCCGGCACCGCCGCTGCCGCGCTCCCCTTTAACCGCCCAGGGGGAGAAGGAGAGCAGCGCCACAGCCCGAAAGTCAACCTCGAGCCTCCAGCAAAAACTCTATCGCCTCGGCGGCAGAAAGCCTACAAGCGACAAAAACAAAAGCAGCAAAAATAACAACCGCAAAAGCGACTTGGACGAGACCCACGACCAGATGCCGACAGTCGTCTGGAAGACGCCTCCTTCGTCGCTGTGCGCGGCGGGAAACCTAATCCTGCTCCGCGGGGCCGATAGGGAGAAGCAGAGAAACCACTTGCTAGATGGCGGGTATGTGGAAGCGTTTCTGCTGAAGGATGACGATCTGCAGGACGTGGTGTTTGGCGATCCGATGATGCATGTCATGGAGCTGTATGAGCAGCGGATTGAGATTTTGGCTACGAATGCGGTGACGGCGCGGTTTTCGCTGAGGTGAGGGGATGGTACAGACTAACTCCGTCGAAAGGGGGCGGGGCGGAGTGGAGTAATTTTAAGGTTTATTATGGACGGGATCGTTTTTAGTTACTTACTGGGAGTTTTTCTCGGGGGATATAGGTAAATATACACCATTTAGCATAGATAGGTTATTGCGGCATGTCTTTTTTCTTCGTTTTCCTTTCAATATTCCCCGGCCTTTTTTTTTTTTTTTTTCTTGCATGGGCCTAATTTTTTGCTCTTCTCTTTCCCTTCTTTTTTATTTTTCTATATTTGCGCGTGGTGTATCTTTATTCATTCATTCAGATCCCATCTACGTACTCGCACATTTACCGGAAAGGGCACAACAGCACACAGACGCACGAATGGAGAACCAAAAAGAAAACGGGGAGCGTTTTTCGTTAGTCCTTCAATTTTTTCCCCCTTCCCATATATTCCTTACATGTTTATTTTTATTGTTATTGTTCCTCCCCCGCCTCTACGTCTCCATACCTACCGCCTCCCACATACAGATATCCATTATTAGTTAGGTTGTGTTTGGTTTTAAACCTCGGTTCACTTGTAAATATATCTCGTTACATTCTTTTCCTCCCAGCACTAACACTCATTCTTGCTGTTTTTGCCCCTCCCTTCTTCTTACTGAGAATCCGATTGAGGGCTTAATCAATACCTCATAGATAATAGAAAGAGACCAGAGACCATGTCAGTTCTCCTCAACTCTTGATTTCTCATATATTGAAATAAACAAAATTATTTCTTTCAGTATCTGTCATAATTATAAAATAAGTGCCTAAAAAACGCGAGGATTAGATGCGCTGTGATGGGCAAGGGCAAAGCGAATTAGAAAAACCACGTCTTCATGCTGTTATATATTTTCACGTTTCACAAATTTTTTTGTTAAAAAAAAACTAACCGCCTGGCCCATGTTGCTAGAAGATAAAAGTACTGTACAGAAATCATAAAAAACAAAAAGGAAAAATCCAGAATCGATATCTATTGAAGTAGTCAATGCCTAAAGGTATCGTGGGATGAAAAGACTCGGAAAAGGGAAAACAGAAGGGGAAAAAATTAGAAAAGACTTCTACAATGCGTCGGTGATACATCCGTGACTTGCGTCCTTGACGGTTCTGCGTGGTGAAGGGGGAAGAAAATAGTGGTTAGTTTCAAAGCCTCATAAAGACAAGAAAACACGATGAATATAGTAATATGAAAGGAATAAAAATGCGCACCTAGCATATTTACCCAGCGTCCCTCTCATCTTCATCCCCGTAACGGGATTTAATCCCTTCTTTTCCCGATCGGCCCATTCAACCCTGCGCTGCGCAAGGATATCTTCAGAGACATTCAGGTCAAGCAAGCGCTTCTCTGCGTCGATGGTGATGACGTCGCCATCCTGGACGAGCGCAATGGGCCCGCCGACTGCGGCTTCGGGAACGATGTGGCCGATCAGGAAGCCGTGTGAGCCGCCGCTGAAACGGCCGTCCGTGATTAGGGCGACGGATGAACCGAGGCCGGCGCCCATGAGAGCAGAGGAGGGCTTGAGCATTTCTGTTGGGGAGGGGGGGGTTGAAAAGGAAAAAAAGTTTAGCGTGAGGGTTTTACGATAGGATTTGCTCTCCCGTTTTCGGGAGGGTGAGATGTAGAAAAACTTTTACGTACCTGGCATTCCGGGACCGCCCTTGGGCCCGGTGTAGCGAATTACCACGACCGTCTTCTCGTCTTTTGAAATCTCCTTCCGTTCCAATGCGGCGATGAAGTCGTCTTCATGGTCGTAGACCTTCGCTTTACCGGTGAACTTGGTGCCCTCCTTGCCTGTGATTTTACCGACGCTGCCTTCCGGCGCCAAACTTCCGCGGAGGATCTGGATGTGTCCGGTTTGCTTCATGGGGTTGCTGAGGGGCCGAATGATTTTCTGATCGGCGGGGAAGTCAGGGACCTTCTCGAGGTTCTTGGCTAGGGTTTGGCCGGTCACGGTCATTCCAGAGCCGTCGATGAGACCCTCTTTCAGGAGGAATTTGAGTAATGAGGGAGTACCGCCAATTGTATGTAGATCGGCCATGACATATTTACCGGAGGGTTTGAGGTCTGCGAGGAAGGGGATGCGATCGCTGACGGACTGGAAATCGTCGATTGTGAGTTTAATGCCGACAGAGTCAGCAATGGCAATCAGATGGAGTACGGCGTTGGTGGAGCCACCGGTGATGTTGACGAGAACCATCGCATTCTCAAACGCCTGGCGCGTCAAGATGTCAGATGGCCGGATATCTTCCTTGAGAAGTGTCTTAATTGCTTCGCCAGCCGCCAAACATTCTAGGTCCTTGGCTTTGGATTCTGCAGGGTTCGACGACGATCCCGGTAGAGTCATACCCATAACCTCGATCGCCGAGGCCATGGTGTTGGCAGTGTACATGCCTCCACAAGCACCGCCACCCGGACAAGCATGTCGAATGATATCGTATCGCTGGGCCTCAGTGATCTCACCTGTTAGGAATTGGCCGTAGGCCTGGAACGCAGAGACAATGTCGATATCGGCGTTGTTTTGGGTTGCTGCGCAACCAGGCTTGATTGTTCCGCCGTAAACCATCAAACTTGGTCGGTTTATTCTTCCCATCGCCATAACAACACCAGGCATATTTTTGTCGCAACCGGGGATGCTAATGTTGGCATCATACCATTGGCCGCCCATGACCGTCTCAATTGAGTCAGCAATGAGATCCCGACTCTGCAAGCTGTACCGCATACCCGACGTGCCCATACTGATACCATCACTAACGCCTATGGTGTTGAACTGGTAACCGATAAGCCCCGCCTTTTGCACCCCTTCGCGCACACGGTTGCTTAGATCGAGGAGGTGCATGTTGCATGGGTTTCCGTTGTACCAGACACTGGAGATGCCAACTTGGGCTTTCGACATATCTTCCGGGGTAAGGCCTGTGGCGTAGAGCATGGCCTGCGAAGCACCCTGGGAAATAGGTTGTGTGACATGTTGAGAAACACTGTTGAGCTTTTTGTCCTTTGAGGACGAGGGTGAATATGGGGATGAAGTTGCGGAGAAAGATCGGCTGAATAGAGCGTTTTAGGTTAGACACAATCCGTTTTTAGCAACTTCAATACTTGACAGCTATATAGAATCCTTTGAAAACATACGAGGATAATGGGAAGAGCAGCCTCTTGAAGCTGTTGGGCATCTGGGCCCGTGCCTGTAGGCGGAGCATCGCGGGTATATATTAGATATGACTAGGTCGAAGCAAGCGCATGTCAAACTGAAGCTGCCTGGTCCAGGTCAGTCAATTTTCCTCACCCTCAACTTGGTAGCGTCCAGGCCAATGGATCTCTAGAATGCTGACCCTGCGTCCTCTGCGTACAACAATATGCGGACTGTTGGTGAGGAATGTGTCGTTGTTGTGAGCGCCGAAAATGGTGAAGAATTGAAGATATCCAAATTATAAGCTTCCAAGCTGGTGTGGAGATGGTTAGGGCGGCCGATGTCGGGAGCCTCGGTCTTGGCATGTGCTGGCCAATCACGGGCTGGCTTAAAGGTCAGCACGCTCACGATGACTTTCTCTAGGCTAGGTATTGAATGGTTCTCTTTCTCAATCCTTATATCTGGCGATTTTATTGCTCTATATATATATGCTGTACAATATGCTCTAGCAATGCAGAAATTTTATATTATGTACAGAGTCATGAAGGGAGGCACCCAAACGCAAAAGAACTGTGTGAGATTCAAGAAGTAGGAATGAAAGGAGCATCGAAGGGAGACAAGAAAATAGTCATCGAGTGTCCCTTATGCAGCACAAAATTGTAAAAGGACAAAACTGCGAAAGTTATATGTCATCGCAGCAAACAAGGTACTATTATCTGTCTCCCTTGCATCAATAAGTGGACCGGAAGGTAAAGCGGAATGGGCCGCGGTTAGTGGCCAGAGTCATAAGCAGCATTGAATGTCGTCATGGTATAAACCGAAGTCAAGGTGTAGGTGGGAGGGTTATTTTTCTTTTTTTTAGGGGGGAGGCCGGGTGGAAGATGAAAAGAAGGAAAGAAAGGGGGGGGGAAGAAGAGGAAAAGACTCTGGGGAACGAAAATGAAAGTAGAGGAGCGGAAACTGAAAAGGGAATCAAGGAGGAACAGATCATAAGGTTAACGGAAAGGTGGTATGGAAACAGTAGTAAATAGAAACACTCAGCTCTCTCTAAGGAACTTCAATATCTCCCCTCTTCAGCCCTTCTGGAACATCAATAGCCTCTTGCACCCACGGCATTTTCGCAATCTCATCTAAACTCATCCGCTTCGTGCTCCTCGTAAGTAGTCCTTCAACACATGCCCTTGCATCTTGGCGTCCCTCCCCCTTAACCGGATCCCATTCGCCGTCTTCATTGGCAAACCGGTACCAGGACCACTCGCAGCGAGCTATCCGATGTGGGGTTCGCGCGCGAAGTTTGGCAGGGTCGCCTCTGGCTCCCGGCAAGGGATCGAAAGGAAGTCGGCTTTCCATAATCGCGTACAGCAGGACCCCCATCGCCCAAGCATCCGTTGACCGGCCATCGTATGGTTGTCCCATCAATATTTCTGGAGCCGCATAATCTTCACTACCACACCTCGTCTGCAGCAGAGGGCTGGCTGGAGGTTCAGGAATGCGTCTCGATAAGCCGAGATCGCTGAGGGTGACGAGGGCGCGGGGATATCTTCGCCAGTCGGAGACATCCTGTATCACTGACGCGGGTATGTTTACAAGCACATCTATGAAGGGAGGATTAGCACAGATTTCCTAAATCGGAAACATATGAGCGAAAGAAAGATGGTGTAGTTTTGAGGAAAGATTCAGCGGGTAGCTGTACTCTCAAGTTTAATATCCCGATGCACAACAAAGTTTGCATGTAAGTATCGCACGGCAGCCACCAGCTCTGAGAATATTCTGCGGATAATGGACTGGGATAACTGGTTTACTGCCCGACTCGCGAACTCGAAGAGGTCACCACCAGGACAGTAGTCCAGAACTAACAAAGATCGTTTGTTGTCGCCGCCAAACGCTTTCAACTGGACGAGGGATGGATGATTGAGAGATTTGAGAATCTCGACTTCTCGACTTAACGAGGTTTCAACTCTTTCTTTGTCCGCTCCTCCAGCTGGGCCGTACTCGACGACCTTTATCGCTACTAGGCGTGGGGGCTGTGACGTATTGCCAGTTAAAGCAGACTCCATTTTATCGCCAGGATCATCCCTTACAGCCAGAACCACCTGGCTAAATGTCCCGTGCCCTAATTTGCGTAGCATTCGGTACCTACGGGGTTGTTGCGTCCTAACCGACATGACATGATATGTGGGGGTTTGAAGGTCAGGTGCCAGTAGGGTCGGGACTAAGTCTGTATCACTGCTGTCATAACCACTGCGCGCGCTCCGTGGAGGGGTTGGGAGGCGTGTGGGAGAAGGGAGCGCAATCCCACGTCGGACAGCCAAATAATCCTCACGCTGCATATTGCTGTGGATCATCATATCTTGAGTAGGTGTGGTGGTGCCATTATTGAGTAGAGTATCGGATGGATTGGTCTTATGGGGCGGAGGAACATGAAGCGTATCTGGCGTATAGTCACTAAGACTTCGATTCCGAGCGTGCCTATTCAGTCGAACAGCCTCAGCGGAGCCTTCTGGTTCAGGTAGCTGAACTTCTCTGTTGGGCGGAGCCAGCGCCCCAGAAATATGGCGTCGGTTAGAAGGCGACCTGGGTCTCTCTGATGATCCGATCCTACGGATACTAAACGTGGATCTACTTCTCGAGGATGTAGAAGGTGTCCGGGATGGTGCCTGGCTAGTTGTGGATTTCCAGGGCGAGGCTCCTAGTAAGACGGGAGATGGCAGTGGAGTGATATCTATCAGGGCAGCTAACTGAGGTGATGAGAAAACCGAGCTAGGAGATATCGACCCAGCGCATGAATGCGCCGCTGCAAGAGCAGTCCGAATACTTGGCGCACGGCGTGGTAGGCTAGTAGAGGATGTGCTGGAACGAAGGGGTATGTCAGGCTCGCGAGGCGCATCTGAGAAGGGTTTGGTGGGATGGGCCGACGGCAGATCTGTGCATATTTGAAGCGAAGGCGTCCGCGGTATTGAGATAGATTCTGTTGTTGGAAACGGAAGCGATGTATTATTTGGGGCAGGTTTTGAAAGCACGTAGTTATTTCCGCCGTCGGTATAACCCTCCGGCGAGCTTATGTCTCCTGCGATTGGAGCAGGGTGGGGCTTTCTCGGTGTGGAGGCGAACGGCGAAGGCTCGTGAGGATCTGAGTCGGGTTTGACCGGGAGCTGGGGGTCTGTACTACGCCCATTATCTTGAGAGGGCGGCTCTACCACAGACTTCTGGAACGGAAGGCGGTGCATCGCCCAAAGGTACGTGGCGCACGAAGTTGTAGAGCTCCCGCGTTAAGCGTATAAAGTGTGCTTGAGACGATGGGTCTTAGGCTGGAGAAAGTATGCACGGAATCGAACCCCGGGACATCCCAAGGGACTATAACATGGGGAAATCCATACAGCAGCGGTGATACTGGATATATAGAATATGTAGTTGCAGCGGGAAGCGGGAAGCGGGAAGTGGGAAGTGGGAAGTGGGAAGCTGGGTTGCGACGTTGGGTCCGGGGCGGGATGGAAGCGGTGCAAGGCGGCAGAATATACTGAGATTTCCTGATTCGGCAGGCGGAGCGGTCGTTTTAAGGTTTGGACCAGATCCACACCGCCTTGGCGCTTGACATTGCTTACGTAGTAAATCATATGAAGTTAGCGTGTAATTTATTCTGGAGGCGATTCCTTTTTTGGCTGTACGGCTAACATCTGCACTAAGACTAGCTTAGGCACAGGATCTATCTATATATTATTTACAGCGTAGACTTGAAAGGAAGTGCCCAGGAAGAAATATATTTTATTTCTGTGTTGCTACCATATGGACCGTTTAGGCGCCTAAGAAAACGCACATAATTAAACTACCTACTGCGGTCGATCCTCCTCCCATCCTGCGACCTTCGCATTTATCACTTGGTTCCAGTCAATGACATCAGAGGTCGGTATGCATTCGTCGACGTCCATGTTGCAGTTGGTGTTTCCCAAGTTGCTGCCACTGTTTATCATGCCAATGTAGTAATCCAATCCTCTATTCGATGTATGGAATTTCGGCTGCTGATGTACTTCTTTGCCGCGCCCTTCTTCCTTCCCCTGCTTCATCGTCTCGAAAGCAGTTTCCTACCAGGTGGCCGGTTAGTTTATTGCTTCTCTGTGAGCGGGGGAGGGGGTTGGGATTGTTTCTCCTTACATGACAGACAATTGCGATTTTAGCTTCTTTTAATTCGTCTTTCAAGAGGGCCTGTTTGAGCTCGGTGAAGTCCTCCTCATCACACAGCGTTTTCCATCCTTCAAAGTTCTCTTCTTCTGAACCGCTCTGATCCCGCTCGGCTATCTTGTAAGCCCAAACTTCCTTATCGAAACCAGGTTTCTTTGCAAGGATTTGCGATGCAACGCTGGGCTGCGAACTCCCCTGAATGCTTGCCAGATTTTTAGACTTGTTCAGATGTAACACAGGTAAACGACGGAGCATACTTCCCTCAAAGTCTCCCAACCTATGCGTCTCGGGAAGGTTGATGTCAATTTGCCGGGTGCAACGACATACATAGCGCGGAACTGTAACCGAGTAGATAGAGGGAGCTTTGCCATCGCTTGCTCTAACCTTGCCAGCTTCTCATATGCCTCTAACTCATCCCCACTAGTGAGCGCTTCCACTTCTTGCCGTGTCACTCCCGCCTTTACTAGCCGTTGGTCGATTTCCTTAAGGGCATCCGGAAGCAACTTTTTATGTGTTCTAACCATCGTCCTCACGTAATGTGCATGGGAGGTTTCAAGAAGTCCTTTTGGAAACACGGCGTTTGTACTCATCTCCGCACTCCCATCAATATCCATCGTGACATTTGACTCAAGTTGTAGCTGTCCATCAGACTTGTCCGCAGAGCTTGTCGGAATACCTAACACGTGTGGTCCTGGGGTAGAACTAGGGAGCCCGAAGATGGCACATGGATCCCATTCTGGACACCAACCAAGTAGTCCAATGTGGAATCCGTCGCGCCTGAGCCACTCGATCATATCCTCTACAGTAGCCGGCCTCCTTTCCACATTTGAGATGGCAGGTGCCATTTCCTCTTCAAGTGCTTCGGTAATGCAACGTTTCGCGCTCGCTTCCACGCTCCAAGAAGTAGACTGACTCTCTAGAAGATCCCGCCCTCCAAAGGTATTCGAGGAAGTGGTGAATAGTGGTAAAAGAAGAATTAACAACTGCTTCGGTGATAACTATGTAGGTACTGCGTGAATGCCGTATAGGTATGTAGGCCACGTGTAGAGTCGTAGGTTGAAAGAACTTCTGGTGTCCAGCGTAGCAACAATGTGTTGACCTGCCTGTTAGCAACACCGTCCAGAACACAGAGATGGGGAAGTCGCGACATGCTAGGGGAACTCTGCCGAACATTGAATTAGCTTGCCACTTACCGCTTTTTAGTACTTAGGGTAGTCGCGAGGTTGTTCGGCATGTTGGTTCCGCAACCTTCCAGAGCTGGGTGTGGCATATACATGACCATAAAGATGAGCATGTACATAACTATAGAAGCTGAATGGGAGGAAAATATAATTTTTATGGAGCAGAAGTATAAATTAAAAAGTCCAGGCATAAGAAAGGTCCGTGAAACTCACGAGGGATGAACCAGATATGGAAGAGAAAATTGACAGAAAGGAAAAGCCAACTAAAAGTCCTCTATATACATACAGCAAAAGCAAACCCGTTATCATGCGAGTCTCCAACCAGAGGAGATAACAATCAAAGATGCTCCACATACACGCCAGAGTGGAAAGAGACGGGGTCAAATAAGTTGTACCAAGTATTTTTAATACATTTGCAATCGAAAGGTAGAAACATGAAGCTTCAAAGGTAGGGGCGACTTTTTTGCTATATTCATTCGGAAAATCTCAAATGACGCTGCTAAATGACGGAATAAAAAGCCGGCCTCAGTTGAATATTTTGTTTTGTGAAACCGCCTGTGAGTAGAACACCAAAATCACGCCGAGATTATGAGAAGAACGCCCGTCTCGTAACCTATAGAAAAGGCAACATTAGCAAAAGTTGGTTTTACTAATTGGAGGTCAAAGACGCAAAACTTACAGCCCAAACACCAGCCACACTGGCGACGATTCCTCCAGATATCATCATAGGCCGCAGGCCTCTTGTACTCTTGAACAACATGCCACTCAAAGCGCCTGCCAATATACTATTTGCCGCATCATGTTTCCCTCTAAAATGCCCCAGAGTGGAATTAATTCCATTATATACCATTGCAAGCACGCCCGCAGAGTTGCCCAGGAACGGGCCTCTTCTGGTAATCGAGTTGAGGACACCGTTCAATCGAAGTTTTGGGGGCGCAGTCACTGGAGTTTTCCGGAGGCCTTCAATCAGACCCCATGTACCTCCAATCGAAAGCGCTGTTAGATATGTAGTTCCTGTTCCATAGCTAAGATCGTCTGACCAACCCCTTGAGGGGAGTGCGGAGCGGGAGCCGGGTAGGTCATCGAGCGCGGAATCTTCGAGCGAAAGGTAATCTAGTGTTTCTTGGTTCAGTCCGGCGAGAGGATGTAATAGTGAGGGGTCTGGCATTGCGCTGCCAGAGAGGAATGAGGATGCATCTTCGGCAGAGGCAGGATCGAACGTAGAATGGGAGGGGCCGGAGGGAGCAGAAGAGGTAGAAGAGCCCTTTCGACCAGAGAGAGTATCCCAGATAGACATGATGGCAAATTAGGAATATATTATACAAACAAGCCACAAAATCTAGAAACTGGAAAGAGAGAAAAAAAAAGGGTTCCTTGCGCCAGCTGCGCTCCTGGATATGCCCGCGTTCTCCGGGATAACGGTATTTATACAAGGGGTGTAGTTCTGGGTTAGGTCTTGAGCGGAAGAAAAGTCGGGATGGAGATTGTCGCTCTTGCGGCTCGATTGCAGCTATAATTTTTCCTCGGCGATCGGAAAATCTTTGATTCTACGCTATACCAGGAAGCAGAAAACTTGACCTCGCTAAGTGCGCCACTTGACCTTGTTACATAATCATGACCCCGACCTCGCACAATACAGTAATAATCAGTTGGTAATTGACTTTCAATCTTTCAATCCACTCATAGTCTCATTCATTCAGCTCATCAACCAATCAAAGCATGTATAGCTGATTCATAATCAATTAAATGAATAGATAAATTCATATAGAATATAAAGAGATATTTTACAGAATTTTAAAATATATCAAGATAAAAATATTTAATAATTGATTTTAAATTAATTTTAAATTGATTCTGAATTGATTCTGAATTAATTATAGTAATAAAAATAGATTTAATCTATATATTTAAGTAATTAATAATTAATTGAAAATCAGTTAATAATCAATTCAGTATAAATTATATAAATACTTACTTTATTATTAAATTCAAGAATAATTTTAGTATTAAATTGATTTTAAATTGATTCTGAATTAATTATAGTAATAAAAATAAATTTAATCTATATATTTAAGTGTAAGAGGTCTACACTGAATAGATTAGTATAATATTGATAGATCTTATATAACAAAGATAAAAATATTAAAGAAGAAAAGAAAGAGAAAGTGTGAGAATCAGTGATTGAGATAAATATTTATACATATATGTAGTGATGTATGCAGTGAAGCTTCAGAGTGAGAGAATATACACACATTTATAGCAGCTGAGAATCAGCAATTGAGAATAACTGAGAATTGAAGTGTATACATTCAAGAATAAAGTAATTGAAATCTGGGAAGTGTAATAAAATAGTCTATATAATTAATCAGATGTAACCTGTCACATTAATTCTCTCTTTCAGAAGCAGTTCTCATCAGTCAAGAGCCGCTATTTCAGATAATATGAAACTCAGAGTTCAGATCAGTTAATCATAGCTGACTCATTTCACAAAATATTACTGACTGCAGTTATAAGATCTCTTATTGAGAATATTCTCAATCTCTCACTCAAGCTCATTATCTTCTTCTATGATGCCTGATAACTGTTAGTTAGAAGTTAGTTGAGAAGAAAATAGATCAGTGATAATGTGATGAAGCAAGCTTGTATAAAATACATCATGAATTTCTGATGATATGTTAAGACAGTAGTTGTAACTATCTAGAACTTCTATCACTTTATACTTGATATAGTGATAATCTAGCATACAAGATGAACATGTAGTTTGTATATTTTTAAGATTCAATTATATCAGATCTTCTATCTTATATTGTTCAGTGAGATCTTATTATTATTATTATTATTCTTCAATTATAGATGTATACAGTCAGAGACTATGACATCTACCTGAGAACTTTTAGTTCTCAGAGTTTTTTCTATATCTGTAAAGTTAACTATTATACATTCATCAATTTCAGATATGCAAAATCAGAAAATTCCAGCTCAGAATATAAAAATCATTTACAAATTACAGTGTTTTAACATCTTCTGATACTTTGAAATCATTTAACAATATCATGACAAAGGAAAAGAGAACACAGTCTTAAAGATAGACACATTAAATAGATAGATAGAAAGGAATTGAAAGAAAAAGATAAAGTAAAGAAAGACTGTAATAAAACAAATTATTAAAAGATAGTATATAGCTGTTTTAACAGACTATATCTGGTTGATTTCCTCCTCTTCATATTCAGATAATTCTGAATTTAGCCATTTTCTTATAGCTGCTTGAGTTTCTGATAGAAAGTCTATTAAGTATTTAATGTCTGTCTCAGTTGAGAATAAGAATCTTATATTTAATTGATTTAGATTATACTTCTCTTTCAATCTAACTCTGAGACTATTGTATAATACACAGTGTATTACAATATACTCAGAATTCTCATTTGTATTGCAGAATGAGCATTCTATTAAGTCAAATCTATCATCAAATCTTTGTATATAAGATTTGAAATAGTCATGTTCTAGTTTCAGCTGTATTATAGATGAGAATATTTTCTTTTTACATTTAATTGAACAAGATTTCCACTTGAGTTTTGTTTCAAATCTTGAATAATATATACTCTTCTTTTGTTTCTGCCAGCTTTCATTTCACTTGTCTAAACAAGATTCTTTTATTTTTCTCTTTATAAAAGATCAGAACACAATTTTTTGAATAGATCTGCTTAATTCTGCACTCTTTTTTACAGCTGAATCAGCCAATTCATTGCCATGAATATTCATATAAGCAGGAACTCAGTGCAGATGAATTATCAGCTTTAATATTCTTCTCTTTTGAATTTTCAAAACAGAGTTTAAGATCAGTTCAAGATTCATTTGATCATTATAAATCTGACTATTTCTAAGTCTTTTTAAAGCAGCTTGACTATCAGAGAATATTCATACCTCTTTTAAACAATTTCCTCTTTTATGAGATTTTATTTCAATGAGTTTGAAAGCTTTCACTATTATAAATAGTTCAGTATCAAAGACTTCAGATTCACAGCCTAGATTTCAGAAATCTGAGATAAAATTAATATTATCTTCAGTATAAGCAATGCCTGCATCTAATCTATTCAAATTCTCATTTTTTGAGTTATCTGAATATATCAGAATAGAGTCTTTTATATTGATTGTAGAGATTCTCTTCAAATGCTGTTCATATTCTTTCTCTTTTGATAGTTTACTTATTTATAAGTCTATAAGAGATTCAAGCTTTTCTCTTCAGAGAGATAACTTCTCATAATCAACTTTTTTAATATTTAGAGAAGAGAATTGATTTTTAATCAGAGAGCATAGTCTATACAGTTGAGAAGACATTTTCTTTGAAGAATTATTTTCATTTCAATCAAGAAATCTATTTCAATCCAGTTCATTTCCAGAGTTAATTAATGAAAATAAAGAAGAGACTCTTTCTCTGATTATATGATTTAAGCTCATCTTTACAACTCTCAGAGCATAGTTTATACAGGTCTTTTCAAATCTAATAGCAGAAGAAGGAATTGAAGCTTCAATTTTCATTGCTTTAATAGAAGATGATTTAAATACTCTCAGAATTCTTCTCAAGACTCTGTTTTGCAGACTTTGAAAGAGTTCAGTGAAATTCTCTTGATTATTTCATTAAACTTGAACTTCATAATCAGCTACTGATGTAATATAGACTATATATAACTGTCTCATAGTCTGGAAGAATAGATCTCTCTCTGTATTTAATAGTCTGATTATGTTATTTAATAATCTTTCTATCTTGACAGTTCTTTGTTAAATATGATATTTAAAATTCAACTTGGAGTTTAATCATACTTCTAATCATTTGATATTTACACTGGGTTTAATCTCTCTATTTAAAAGAGTTAGAGATAGTTCTTTCTCATTGAATCTAGAAAAGAAATGAATTAACTCAGTTTTATTTATATCAAATTGAATTTAATTGATATCTGCTTTAATAAAGATTTCCTTTGCAGCTTCTTCAATCACTTTCAAATTCTCTTTGATAGTTTTTGAGCTGTAGACTAGATCAATATCATTTATATAACTCAGAGATTGTACTATTCTTATATTTCTATTTTTAAATAGATATGCAGTGTATATTGCAAATAAAATGAGTGAGATTGAAAATTCTTGTGATACTTCTATTTTTATCTCAGTCTTATCTTGTTTCATTCCATCAAAGAAGAGTTATATAATTCTTTTAGATATAAAACAGTTAACTCATTTTATTAAAGAAAGTGGCAGTTTTAATATCTTCAATGTCTGAATTAACTTTGACTTTGAAACATGATCAAATGCTTCTTTTATATTAATAAAAACTGCAGTTGAGACCAGACTCTCATGCTTTGCTATTTGAATATCATGAACAACTGAGAGAATAGTGTCAATTACAGAACACTGTTTTCTATCTCTCATTTATTCACTGAATAAAAGAGAATCACTTATAGAGCTTATAAAAGATAGTTAAGTAGCTATTATCTTTTCTAAAACCTTTTCTAGACAGTTCAATAGAGATATTACTCTATATGACTTAGAAATTGAAGTTTTTCTATTAGGTTTTACAAGAATCACTTCAGTGACTTCTCTCCAGCATTTAGAATAATATTCATTTTTCAAGAGATTGAAAAAGAGCTTAAAATATTCATTCTTTAAGTAGAGATATGTATTTTGAATAATTAAGTAATTAATTGAATCAGGCCCTGCAGCAGTCTTAACTGAACTTGAGAAGATAGCTAACTCTAGTTCATCTTGAGTAAGATCAGGCTATTCCCAGTCATTTTCATTAATATAGTTGAGATATGATATATTCTCTTCCTCTGAATCTGAATCTGATAAGTTTTGAAAGAGAGTTCTTATAAAAGCTTGACATTTTTCCTTAAAAGAGTTTGCTGTATATAATTTATTCTGAAACTCATATTCTAAGATTGAAAGTTTTACTACACTTCTTGTTTTAGTATAGTTAAAAGCTTTAAAAACTTCTTTTTCTTATACTTCTTCAAGAAATTTATTTCAGCAGTCTGTTTTAGCTTTTTTAATATCTGAAAAATATTCATTTCTGACAGCTTTAAACTCTTTATCAGAAATTATATCATTCTTTCAATCTCTTCTAGCAGTAGTCAATTGTTTCCTTTTAAATGTGATATTCTCATTTCATCAAGATTTTAAATACTCAGAAGACTTTCTCTTTGAAATATTATCTTTAACACTTGCTAGAATAATAGATGTAATGAGCTTCACTTTATTCTCAAGCATTTCATTTGAGATATCTTGATCAGAGTTTCAATACAGCTCACTCTGTCTTTCAGATTTTAACAGTTTTATACTTTCTTCAACTGCCTTTCAGTCAGCTTTTTCAAAGTTAAACTGATTAGAGAGAAGAGAATTTTCACTCATTTATTCCTCACTCAGTTCAATATTAAATTGAATAATCTCATGATCTGATTCTGATATCTCATTTGAATCAATAAATCAGTTTGCAAG